CCCCAAAACCCCAAAACCCCAAAACCCCAGAGGATGAAACCTTCATTGAATCTTTGATGTAATATATACCATTTTAGAGTGGTGGGACAAGACTTCGAGAATCTTATTCTTCAAGAATAAGATTTTATAAATTCATTTTCTAAGGATCAGCCTCTTATCTTCTGGCAGATAATGGATCTTCTTTGGTGAAAAACCCTTTAATCAACTGCAGAAGTGAAATCGTGGTATAATTTTACTGATACTGGAGGACTGTATAGCTGAAATGCTAGAGAATGTTAAGAAAGAAGATTAATTAAAAAGTCCGGAATGATTTCAATACAATATTTTAACTGTCTTATTTAGCATCTCATTGCTAGATAACATCCTCTTTAGCAGAGTTGAAGGGTCGAATAATCTTGAACGTTGGTAGCTCAATGTGTGGGTTTTTAAATAATGGTCTAGTATCTTAATTGGTTCTGACTGATGTAGTCTTTAGGATATGGTAATCTTGCTGTTTCGACAGTTGATATAGGACTGTCTATCATTTGGTGTTTTAATCTTATACTGCTTTTAACCTCATAGATGATATCTGAGACCTAAAAAATATTTTAACAATCTATCCTTTTATTAAAATCCTGGATTATCTGATCCGGAAAATAAGTAAATTAATGTGAAAACCCTGCTTACACTGGACTTTTCTCCCTACTTCCTGATTTTAATAAGTTCTATCTTTTCTTAAATAAGGTACTGCTGATTGGGCTCGGATTGAGCATTTTCTTTCTTCTCCTTACTCTCAATAATTTATTCGCTGGTCTGATTTTTCTCGATAAAAATGTCAATCAATAAATAGAACCAAGAAGATATGAACTGATAAAGCTCGTTTTATTTTAGCTCAACTTTTTATTCTCTTCAAATGGTACTGAATAGCTTCAGGTGATACTAAGCTCCTGAATAATGATCTTGGCATCCAAAATTCATTCAATAATGTTCTCCTAAATTTGTATGATGCGAATTTAAATTTTACACAGAAATTCAGGAAATTTGTTCCTGACTAAAACTCTTCAAGACCAATGAATTGGTTATGAAAAAGAAATGTTTTTATTAGGAAATAAAATTTCCGCAATTTTAGTCAATTATTAATCCTTACAAATCTCAAATTCAGCAATAATATTGAATACCTAAGTTCATTTAAGATTAACATTGTGATAAATAATTACAGTAAATACTAAAAAGGAAGGATCAAAACTCTGATTCCCAAAACACGTTTCAAATTTTTACTGAGACTATTCACAATATCTCCTACTGGCTCTCTTAAGCCCTTGAAGTCGCATTGCTTCATTTATGCTGAGATTAATGGCTCTTGTCCTTCCTGTTGCTATATAGTTGATTGTCAGAGCGTTTCCAAATTCATTGGCAATAGTAGTCTCTCTCAAGAATAGCAGGCTTTGGGAAATAGAAAGAACAAGCGGAGTAGGTAAATAAGGGATTGTTCAAATATTAAAACCTTAGAATATGGGCAATTAGACAAATGGTATTATACAGGAGGCTTAGCAAGAAACCACAGTATCCACTTCTAAGAATCTATCTTACACCAATCATTCTATTTATAAACCAAAGCGAAACAATGGAAAAACAGTATAAAAAATAAACTACAATCCCAAACCCCATTTCCTCTTAACCCCCTCTCCCTCCTCTAAACCCCCAATATTCCCTTCCCTCCCCTTTCCTCCCCCTTTTCTAAACCTCTTTCTGCATCTCTTCTCTTGGGGTTTTGGGGTTTTGGGGTTTTGGGG